TACTGACTTTTGCTACTACTTGGAATAAAAAACACACTCGTTGATAAGGGATTGTTGTTGTTGTCACGCCAGCAATACAGGGATAGCCTCGTTTTCGCGTTAGAAGCGAACACGCGGCTTAGAGTCCAGCGGTCGCTAACCGAGAACTCGAAACTGGAGTATTCAAGCTAAAAAAAGCGCAAAGTTCTTCAAAAAATGAGAAACTATAAAAAGACAGCTGAAGGTTTTTATTAAATTTTATTTATTTATTWTCAGGATTTTGAAATTCTGAGCGCTTATTATTGGGCTTCCTGTGTTGTAAATATTACATTTTTCTTTACCAAAACACAAAGTTAAGCAACTCTCCCCAATTTTCAAAACAATTTCGATAGTACATTTATAATATACATTACCTAAGTTCTTATAATCAGCTGGAAAGTGGTGGGTGTCGGCACTTGATTTTGCGAAAACCACTGAAATGTTGTACATTTATCTGATTTGCACATTTGAAATAATTAGGTATGTTTACAATGAGTTAGTAATCACTGAAATCATTCTGATTGCAAAATTTTCGATTTTCGGTAAGCYTATGATGACTATATTCAAAGAATATAAAGAAATACAGCATAGTAATGGAGCGGAATGGTTTGGAAACTCCATAGAACAAAGCTATTRTTTTACGTTTGATGTTGAAYCGTACCATCACGTGATACTGACGGTGCACAATGAACCAAAGCAAGTATGGYTGAAAATRCTCATTTCCTTATTATTTTCATGTATGAACATTTTGAAARTGAWAACTTTCATTCCATGRCCAMRAACCATGCRGWTAAATATTKCCGCGCAGATACAGTTAATTTACTGGATRATAAATAAGAAAGCACGAAAAAGGGCAATTTCCTTTTCAATAAACAATTWRTATTWATCATATAGGATTAATTAAMRAATAATAAGTATTTTAGAAYGCTTTTTAGGGTTAAAAACTTCTATATTYCCKAATACTATGAACAAACGGAGCAACGTTTCYKTYTCTATGAAGGGTCAACGTCACWTAACAATGGACAAAGTCGAACAAAAACCTAGAACAATAGGTTTCTCAACCATTCCGCTCCATTAACTATGAGTGCATGAATCATTGCATAGTATYTAAATGAGAATAAAAATCAAGGTTCCCAAATTTTTAAAACAAATCGATTCCTATACACCTAGACRGCAAGCATAGCACGTCATTTTAATGTGAATCAACAGGTGGGTGTTGATAAGTGTTTTGGAAATATCTGAATGGGAATAACATCAAATTKTTGGAATGTCMCACAATTACTCAGATTTTGACATTCTATAGCTGCTGTTACAAAGCGTCGATTTCATTTATATCTTAGCCAAATARATAAATATTATATCAATATTTAGGCAAATACAAAGCGTTCGTATTTTACCTTGCCCTWASCACGATGTTTATTGGTGATTCGAAACGACAACAAACTGCAGCCTACTGTTATGAACAGAGGTTCTWCGAACGYCTTCAGATAATTTTGGATAACTCACGTTTGCATTAAACKTTTTCCTTCTAAAYTCGTGTTGATATAAAAGTAGTCCTTAACATATATCCTTTAGAAAAATATTTTACCTAGAAGCATAYTAGTGCAACGAAAAACGTTYGTTTRTAATAGACTGAACAGAGCAGYCATATTGCTYRCTCTTTACATGAACGTGAACGTGTGCAGTCAAATTAGCGCCCTGTTGATGAAGGCATTTTGAATAGCCGAAATATAATACAGGTTTTGTTTGTGCTATGAGTATATTTTTACCTGAAAAGTCTTTTAATTCTAATATATTTATAGTTTTTCATGGCCGACATTTTTACGCTTTGGATTTCTGGTTAATTTTACTCGAAAAAACGAAAGATAACTACATATAATCCAACAAAATATCAAGTTTAGTGAAATTTACCTTGGAAGTCTTTCATTATCGTATATATGGTCTGAACCCAAGCGAATAAATGTTTATCGAACTATTTTGATCGTCCGGGTGGATGTAGTCCTGAGAAGGATTGCTTGATGGGACTGACGTTTCGACATCCTGAGCGTAAATCAGCTTCATAGTCAAGTGAAGAATAAAGTCAAATTGTGGTTATATTTTTTACTGTCACGATAACAATAGCCTAATTACCTGGATTAGCGTAATTGGCGGCGTCGGTGTAATGAGTGCGCGTCGCTGCTTTGGTGTTGTAGGCCGAGTTATTGTTTCTAATAAGCCTATTATACGGATTGTAAGTTATTGAGCGGCTTAGTGGATGATGCTCAAACTTGGTAAATCAATTCTCCAGTACAAGTCGTTAATTATTACGGATTAATTATTGCAAAATACCTATTCATTTTTATATTTCATTCAATATTTAATAAATTATCTGAGTAGTCTATAGAAATATTAATATAATATAATTTGATTGAAAATCTTCTTTGGTTTTCCGATAGGACTCGCTAGTGGGAAACGAACGAAACGGCTTTTTCTTGAACGAAACTATCGATAGTCAATGGGTTAAAGCAACCGAATCTTGAAGATTTATAAGTTAAATATAAAGGGCGAATCTTTTAATGAAATATTTACTCCTTTTCATATTTCATCCAGACTTAATATGAATTACCTATAGAAATATTAAAACTTTTGAGAGAAAGTCTTTGAATTGTCGATTTGAAACATACTTATTTCAATAAAGTTGGTCACCTGAAAAGCTATAAAGCTGAGGCCGACAAGGATCATGGGTAGATTCATTTTACAAGTTCAACCGCTTGATAACTGTTCATGGACTTGCGAATTTTTTACCAGTTACAGTCTCACCTCTTGATTTATTATTTCTCTATTGATTTATATCGTTAGTCAAAAGGAAATGCCTAGCATGTGACCTAGAGTCCCGTTCGCACTTTCCRCTTTGGGTAGCATGTTGGTTCTGTAACTTTCCTTCCTGATTGATACCCAATAAAAGTTGTAAACCAAGGGAATTACCTTAAGAAAGATCGGTAACCCATCGAGTTGATTTTTTATGGCTTGATTGCGTCATTTCCGTTAGTCCGTCTGTCCGTCCGTCCGTCCGTCTTATTTCAATAAAGTAAGTCAACAAAAACCTAGAAAGCTGAGATCACTGAGCATCATGGGAAACT